TTCTGTAGATTCTTAAGGATTTTCCAAGTCATCTGCAAATATAGATGTCTTCTTTTCTTTGATTTCTTTCTATGGCCTTATTGCAATGGCTAGGACCTCTGGTACAATATGACTATAAGTGGTAAAAATGGGAATGTTTTGTTCTTAATCTTAGGTGGAAATAGTCAATATTTTACCATGAAATATGATTTTAGCTATAGGTTTTTCATAGGTGCTCTTTATCAGATTTAGGGGATTATTTTCTATTTTTATTAATAGTTTGTGGAACAGTTTGTATCATGAATGAGTGTCCAAATTTGTTGAGTGCTTTTTTGTTGTCTATTGAATTAATCATATGGTTTTCCTCCTATATACTGTTAAATGTGATGAATTACATTAATTTTTAAATATTAAACCAACCTTGCATTCTTAGGATTAACCCTAGTTGGTCATGATGCATTATTCTTTTAACATATTGCTAAATGTAATTTACTCAAATTTTGGGAAGATTTTTAGATCTGTGTTTATTATTTTCTTCTGATATTTGGGCCTTGTCTGTCAAGTTGAGATGGGCCATAAAAGTGTTTTGTGTGAATGACAGTCAGAAACAAAAAAGAAGTCACATGTTGAACTGTGAACTGGAAATAAATTAATATTTTTTGCCCCTCTGAATATTCCAGGTTGTCCATTCTGGATTTTTGTCACAGGCTCTGAAATAATAGTAAGGAGATGGTGCTCTGGCAAGGGTCATCTATCTATGAAAACAGAATCAGCAGAAAATGAGGCTAAGTCATGTCCATTGCTAAATGAAGTAAACTTTGAGCAGTTGGTTTAGACATAACATGGTTCACTCTGTTCCCACAATCGTATTTCATGGTAAAGCATTGTACAAGGTTTTTCCTTTAAAACATTACTTTTCTTTTTCATAACGTTGTGAAAAATTTAATTAATAGCTTATGTAGTTTTAACAACTTTATTTTTTTTTATTTTTATTTTTTTTTCAAACCCATGTTGTTCAAGGGGCAACTGTAATTACCACTGCTAAATCTTTCATCTTTGTGGTTGTGACTGAACAACAGGAGTTAAATCCCACTGTAATCATAGGTTCTACCCATACTCAATGGAAGGGGTTATATGGATGCGAGTCTTGGGGCCTTAGAATTCTGCCTACTAAAACTAAAGTCCCACAAGAGACATAGATAGATAGATAGATAGATAGATAGATAGATAGATAGATAGATAGATAGATAGATAGATAGATAGATAGATAGTTTTGTTTTGCTTTTGTAAGAGCCAGGGTCTCGTTTACATTGCTCAGACTAGTGTGGGATCCTGAGTTCAACTTATCCTCCTGCCCCAGCTTCCTAAGTAGCCAGGACCACAGGTGACACCACCGTACTCAGTAATATATTTTTTAAAGGCATGACAACATATTTTTTTAAATACATAAACATCAGTAATAACCCACTAAAGGCATAGTAGACAAAAGGGTACTATTAGTAACCAAAAACATAAAACTTATATAAATCATTATCTCTTAGATAAATCATTAGTTTACCTTCTATTATAGTGTCAACTCAAACAGGAAAAAACAGTGGGTTCTCTCTTTCCTAAAAGCTCCAACATAAGACAGAGTAAATAGTTAAGTATAAACATAAATGGAGGGAACAAAGGGATTTGCAGTTGACACAACCGGAACACACTCTTTTAAGTTCAAAAGCAGAAGAAAAGATGAAAACAGTATTTTATTATTACTCATGACTAAAATCAATTAATTTTAAATACATAAGAAAATATAGTTAGACTTGTATCCAAACATCACTACTAAAATGGGAGAGGGGGGGAAGAAGGGGAGTTGAATATATTTGTGCAAACCAGAGGTAGATATAGAGTAGAGATGTCTACAATTCAAGTGTAAGTCAGACAGTGGGATTTTTGTATAAAACCTCCTGAAGGCAGCTAACTTAAGTCTGTGTGATTCCACACTGACCCTGGGAAACAAGCAGCAAAATGAGGTGTCCCTAAGGTTAAAGGGCTTTTCATTAGAACTGTCTCAAATCTCTGCATTTATGTTAACAACATCTTTACAATATTTAGTTTTCCCATGCAGAAACAAAAAGTTTTAACAACTTTAAAAGAGCAGCTAATATTATTATAACAAAGAAAGTATACACTAGGCCAATTTTTTAAAGCTTGTGGATAAGCTTGTGGACTACTTTCAGAGAAAAAGAAATTTCCTGAATGTCATGTGTTGATTTTTATTATTTTTATTATAATGTTATTTAAAAATTTATACATAAAACTATAAGTGCTTTTTCTTTGCTTTTACACAATAAAAGCAACACACACACAAATCATGAAGAAAACTCTGTAAACAAAGAAATGCAGGCTAATAACAATTTAGTGTAAGGGATGGTATTGTTTTGCTGAAACTTAACTGGCGCTTACCGTCTGAACGTAAGTTGCAGCAAGTGATCTTTTGAGTTTGGCAGCCTGTGTTACTGGTGCCGTGTGATGATATAATTCTTCAGCCTTTTTTCTCCATTTGAACTTACATGATCTATTTATTCGTATATCATTGACCACATCATATAAGTATTAATCCTCCTCTGTGCATCTTTTCTTTCCTTTTTAGCTTGAGGCCAGAAAGTACCATTCTACACCAATGCAAATGGTAATGCAGATAGTGAAACTGTGTACCAGTATCCAGCCTTGGATGAGCCTAATATAGATGATCCAGAATATGGGCATATTAACTTATTTTAGATTATCATCAAAAATGCATAACTTAGAAATCTAGAGAACTGTAGGGCTTCAAGAATGTAAATCACTGCCCTTGGGTCCAACAGCACATATTAGAAGTCTCAAAAGAGGAGAAGACTAGAAGTGTCATCATGGCCTGGATGCCCTGTTGGCCATGTTAGGGCACATAGTGAATATTTCACTCCTTGAGTCCTGAGTTGGGAAGAGCATGATGGAGAAACAGTACCAGGTGTGCTTATTAAAACAGCAGGGATGGATGTGCAGCTGCTAACTTCTTGCACTGCTCACCCAAGAAGGGCTGAATGTCTTGTTCATTGCCTTCCGCAGTAAATGTGTTGGACTCGGATGCCATAGGCAGAAACATGAACCCAGGGAACAGTAAAACATGGCTCGTGGTGCCAGAGTATACTGTTGTGATTTCAGATGTTTGCATATTGGGTTTTCTTAAAGCAAGGCACATTTTCAGCAGAAAGGGAGAGTTTTTCTTTCCCTGAAATGTCAGACTTGTTTTGTATGCCCTTTATTCATTTATTTAAAAATTGTGTAAACTGTAGTAAGAACATTTCACGTGTGATCGTAACAAATCTGTAAGTGGGCAACACAGTATTGATAACAACAGGCACAGTATTGAGGAGCAGACGTCCACAACTTACTCATCTTGCATTACTGAAACTTTATTCCCTTTAAATAGCAACTTCCCATGTTCCTCTCCCCTCACGCCTGACAGCCATCATTCCACTCTGCTTCTGTGAGTTTGACTATTTTAGATTCCTCCTCTGAGTGGGATCATGCAGTATTTGTCCTTCTGTGACTAGCTTATTTCACTTAGCATGATGTCCTCAAGGTTTATCCATGTGTTCTCGGATTACAAGGTTTTCATCTTTGTTCGGCTTGAACAACATACCCTGTGCCCTTTAGATGCGCAGTGAATGCGCCGGCCTGTCTTCCAGTCCCACCCACCCAGCCCCTTCTCCTGTCTTGTCAGTTCTCTAGCCTCTGGCAGTTCCCCATATGCCTTCCCAGCCCCCAAGGACTAAGGGCACACAAACAAAATGGAAGGGAGTCCCAGAAGCCATGGAGCAGCTGAGGCCTGAGGAGGACCTTGCTGGAGTGTCTAATCCTACAGTTGTATGGTGCTTGGCTGCCACCTCCCTGCTCTGTCCAGGGGGTCATTGCTATATCTAATGATCAATATTCCACAGGCAACCTTATAAGTCAATTCTGGGAGGTTTTTCTAGCACTTCCCTCTCCCTGCAGAAACACCTCTGGAATGGGGATCTGGCTTAACCCCGCCCTTGTTGTTTCATCGTTTTAACTTTGCCTATTGGGCTTGGCCCTGGCCTGCCTGTCCGTCACCCAATGCACTTCACCTTCACCTTCACCGTGCTCTTGCTCCGGACAGCACAGGAGCCACCCGGCACGACAGCACTGCTTTCTCTGGCAGCACGAGCTCAGCGGCAGAAGGCAGCATATGCTTTGTGAGGTTCCTGAAGCCCGGGGTTTGGAAACCCATTGAAATTCTATCCAAAACTGGCTGAATTTTTTCTAATCTGAAACCTCAATACTCATAGAGCCCACATGTTGTGTGTGGTAAGTTAAGTGGTAATTGAGGTTTGCAGATTTTTATGTGATTTATTCTGGTTTTCTTCCAATGGCCTGTGAGCTAAAACTTAAATACAGCTTCGTTGTAGTTGCTTCTTCCTGTTTAGAGAGACTGGCATAATATTTTGTCTTCTGGGCTCAAATAACCATGTAATTACTCTATAATCATATAGTAATTAGCATGTACTATATGCATTTATTACATAATTATATTCCTGGAGGATTGTATGGCAATTATACTTGCATCCAGCATATCATTTTATATACTGTATCATGAACAAGTATGTAATTTGTTGCTTTTTTCCTTTGTCCTAATTTCAGTTTACCAACCAGGAGCTGGAAGCTGACTCTCCTGTTGCCTTGTTTGCATGTGGCCGGGCAGGTGCCTGCACGCCTTTGGGCTCACGCACCACCTCTTAATTAGACATCTAAGGGAATACGAGGGGGCTTGTGTGCTGCAGTGGACTCCCAGCTTTTGCACTCCTAACGCTTTCTCCTTGTCATGAAGTCATTAAGTTATTAGCTTCAAAACTCATTAAGTTCTAGAGCTGCCCACATTGCCAGGTCAATGGCAAGATCTCAATTAAAACAGAGTGGCCCTGAGCAGACCCGGCGCCGAGCACAGTGACCATGCCTGTCTTTCTCTGCTTTTGCAGTGGAGCACATTCCCAAGGGGAACAACTGCCTGGACGCGGCCAAGGCCTGCAACCTCGACGACACCTGCAAGAAGTACAGGTCGGCGTACATCACCCCCTGTACCACCAGCATGTCCAACGAAGTCTGCAACCGCCGCAAGTGCCACAAGGCCCTCCGGCAGTTCTTCGACAAGGTCCCGGCCAAGCACAGCTACGGCATGCTCTTCTGCTCCTGCCGGGACATCGCGTGCACGGAGCGGAGGCGACAGACCATCGTGCCCGTGTGCTCCTACGAAGAGAGGGAGAAGCCCAACTGTTTGAACCTGCAGGACTCCTGCAAGACGAATTACATCTGCAGGTAAGTGCCGCAGCCGCATGATTAATAAGGTGGCCGGGAGGGCCTTGGTGGCTGCTTCATCTGCCAAGCTCCGGTTTTCTGTGTTTCTATCAGGGTAGGGGAGGGAGGGCGGTCAGTTTGTGTGAGTGAATTGGGAAAAATCTGACCGCTGTGTCTGACACGCGGTTCTTCAGAAGCTGTTTTGGGCCCTCACACTGGGGAAGGCTCCTGTCTTTAACCGAGGGAATGCTCTGAGGGTGCTGGAATGAGGTAAAACATTGCTGCATTTCCCAGGCAGCTCTCAGGTGAGAGGGTCACCTGGGGCGAGGTGACCTGAGGCCCAGACCTCAAGTCCCGAGGGGCTGCCAGAGGTTACCAGGGCTAAGTCAGGAGAGGAGTTGGCTGGAGATATGGAGACTCTTGACCTTCAGGGACCAAAAACTGGGAAAGACCAGTGAGAGGGATCAGCAGCGCCCAGCCCTGGTGAGGAGAAGGCCTGGGGCTGTTCTGCCATTCTGTGGCTGTGAAGAGTGGGCAGCTTCCCACTCAGCTCTTTTCCCAAATCTCAGCCACCATCAGAAACCCTGCTGAACCAGGACTGCATTGTTGAAAACATTCACTTCCTTTCTGGTTTTGGCCATTTCTGGATTTATTTTAATGTCTGAAGGAGTCCATGGATGCGTTGTCTGTGTAAGGAAAAAAAAAGCAATATAGAATTCAAATTAGATGGAGTGAAAAGAGGAAGTGGCTCTTCCCTCTGCTCGACTGGCCCCCAAGCCTCAAGCGATCACTGTTAACAATTCGACCTTCTGTGTCCTTCTAGAACTTAGGGTTAGATTCAGTTGCTGGTGGAAGCAAGTAGACTCAGGTAAGCGGGCACTTGAGTCTTTGCAGACTGAAGCTGTGCTGGGGCCTCCTTCAGAAGAGCAGGGCTGGATCCTGGGCTGGGGATTTGGACGGGACATCGTGTCGGACAACACCTGTGCTTTGTACCCAGGGGCGGCCAGGAGCCTTCAGTACCATCTTTAACAAAAGCCTGTGCCCTCAATATATGCTAAACAGGTGGACAAGTAGAAGAGCGAGTGACTATGTGCTTGTTTCCTTATAGGCTTCCCATTTCTAAGGAGCTCAGAGCAGGAAAATATGTCTAAGGTGTTGAAGATTCCGGTTAGCTGAGTTTCTGGTTAATTTGGCTTTTCTTCTGGTAGATGGGGTCCCCTTCTTTCCTTAAACCAGCTCCAGTAATGACCAGAGAGAAGCGAAAGTCCTTGTTATCAGTATAACACTCTCATGTAGATTTTCTGATTTTTCTGAGAATAATGTCCCTCCACCGTCTTTTTCCAAGTTGGGAGCAGGTGACCTGCTGTATGGGAAGGACTCGGGTGACCAAGCGTCACGTGAGCAGAGGGAGGCGGCAGGTGTTCCAACAGTGCAACTCCAGGGACTCTTGCTCACTGCCAAGGCCCTGGTGCATTGCGACCCTCTTAGCCATGGGCTGGGACAGATATGGGGGTACCAGAAAGTCCTAGGGAGAGAGGCAGGCCCTCGAGCTGGTAACCGGGGAAGCAGATCGGTCAGGGATCACAGCACCCGCTGCGAAGATGGATGAGGTGAGGGGGACGTGGCTGAGGAGCAGGACACGGAGGAGACGCTTGGGAGCGCTTTGCTCAGGGTGCCAGGGTGGGAGAGAGCAAAAATTCTGAAGACCCTGGATCTGAAACCCAAATTCCTGGGCTCCATTAGCCGTTGAGCAGAAGGGATCCTCCTCCCACGAGCAGTGCTGAGTTTCTAGGGTCTTACTTGCCTTAAAACCAGATGGCTCCTCCGTGCCTCTACAATAAGATGTCACCCTGTCCACTGATGGCTGTTGGTCCTGCTTCATGATGGGGAGCCGTGCGGGACGCAGATGAAGGGAGGAGGAGCCCTCTGTCCGTGGAACAGTGGCTGGGAGGTGGGAGAGGCAGTGGTGGTGACCGAGCCTTTTGCTTCTCTCCTCCCAGGTTTATGTCACACACGTGGGCCAGAGACAGTCTGGGACCCCTCTTACACACATGGAAAGCCCGTGCTGAGCAGATAACTTGCATTCCCTGACCTGCTCTTCTAAAAAGAGAGACTCCTTGGAGGGCTGGTTTGAATTCCTTAGACCAGGTGGCTTTCCTGCTAAGCTGTAGTGAGACTCAGGAAGTTGGAGGGCTCTCGGGCAGGTGACAGGAGGAACCAGAAGGTTTGGGTACCATCCAGTGCCTCAGACTGAGGCCTTATACTGAGGAAGGACAGCTTCCAGAAACTTTGAGACACCCCTGATGGCAGGGAGTGGCCCCAGCTGATGGGGCAGAAATGCACACGGGTGGCAGAGAGCCCTCCCCTACTCCCTGACTGTGCCCGACCACAACGGGGTGAAGGCCCCTGGGCTGGAAGGTGGCCTGGAAGCAGTGTTTTCGCTGCTGTCACATTTCTGGCTCCGGGGAGAACCCAGAGGCTGTTTGGGAATCAGATCTAGGCTGTTCTGGGGCTCTACCAAGCGAAATTTGTCTCAGTGTGATGGATGGGTTTTGTACCCTGTCTTGAGTCTTCCCTTGGAAGGTGAATCAGTGACTTCCCCTGGTGTTGCCCGTTGTTAAGTTATTTAGCCCATAATTTCTTTCCGAGCCTGGACTTATTACTCATGATTACCCCTCCCTGTCAGATGTGGCAAATGTAATTTGAGCTGCTAGGTTGGCTAGTGGTGTCTTCTTTTATCAGATTTTATTAATCTTGTCTTTAATGTTATGTCTTTCCCCCATCCCTTCTCGGCGCATCTCGGTGAGGCCGGCGTTGTCACTGCCCCGAGCAGCAGCTGGCACTAGCTGGACCTGGGGGCTCTGCGGGGCTCACGTCACAGTTGCTCTAACCCTCACCCTGTCACTGATGTGGTGACTTACAGCCTCATTTGAATAGCGACCAAGGGAGGGGATGGCAGGAGGGGATGGCAAGAGGGAAAATTGCTTCCTAAAAACCATATTCTTCGAAACTCACACCTTCAAATGCTCCATTTCCATTGTAACATCAGCGACTATCAAAGAGCTGCTCAAGCTCATTAAATTTTCCTTGAACTTAATGTTTGCCAACTCAGGCCTTACAGCGTTCCTTCCCCAGGGTCCAAAGGTGCCTCTGCACAAAACCTGTCTCTCTTCCGCCTTCAGATGAGAAGGAACAAGAGCTTTTCCTTGACACTTTTTTTCTTTTTTCCTTTTCTCTTTTAGGAAAGCTGACAGGTTCCTTTCCTCTTGGGCTGGTTGGGGAGTCAGGGCTTGACTGGTTGGGCCTCCAAGCTTGTCTACAGAAAAGCAAACACAGTGGTATTATTAGAAGGGTGCAGTGAAATTTAAAAGGCTCACATTCCTCCTCTGAAGCAGTGTCTCCCTGCCAGTTTTCCTCTGGTTGCTTTTCTTAGGGCCTGGAAGGATGTCGGGACTGGGTTTGGTTCAGTGGAAGCATATCCCTTTATTCCTGGTGCAAATTGTTATATGCGTAATTTAAACTTACACCTTACCTCCTTTCTCCCAAACTCTGACGTGCAGAATAAGCTCAGCACTTGAGCACAGGCTGAAGGTGCTGCACATATTGCTCTTGCTTTTGTAATTTATCTCTCAGCTGCCTCAGCTATTCTTCATTACCAGGATGTCTAGCACCTTCCCTGTGCCCCCAGCATGCACTTGCTACTGGCCTTGTGGCTTTAGCTGCTGGCACATGGCGTTGCTGTTGAGAGCAGTCCAGGGTGTGCTTGGTGGTTTGGTGGCCTTGCCCTCGTTGGCCATTCTGCACGTGCAAGAAAAGGCTACATCCTTCAACACCAGAGGAACGACCCTTAGTTCCTACTTACACATGCAGCCCTTTGGGAAACCCCATGCTTTCCCAAAGCATGGCCATTTGCCCTGGGGGCTGCATTCTCAGGGGTTCCAGCCAGAGCCAGCCCTCCCCCTTGAACACCAGCAGCCAAACTCTCCCTCTCCTGCCAGGGTGTTCCTAGGTGGAATAGAATGTTGCATTTGCATTTTTTTTTTGGCCACCAGTGCTGGGTCAAAGATCTCTCTCTCCTTTTAGAAAGATTCTGATAATGCTGAACCTCAAAAGGGAATGGGAGGGGCATGCGAGATAAAAACTTATGTATTAGGTGCAGTGTACTCTGGCATTGGGCACACGAAAAGCCCTGACTTCAGCATTATACAATTCATCCACGTAACAAAAGCGTTTGGTCCTCTTTCGTATTTTGAAATGTATACATACATAAAGGGGATGGGTGGGGGTTCTGTCTCCAAGGCTCTTCTGGCCCTGCTGGAGATACACTTGCTTCTCCTTGTGTCCAACTGTCTGTCCCCACAGTCTCCAAGAGTGGTGGCTTTGATCAAGTCACCAAGTACATGGCTCCACCATTACCCAAGGACTGAGGATCCTATAATTGTATCCTGGAGGCCTGGGGGATTTTTAGCAGAACCCAGGTCGTCTCCCTTGACACAGCTCCAGAACAGCACGTGCAATTTCCAAAAAGGCAGCCCTGCGTTTGCCACACTGGGGGTGACCCCATCATACATAGAGGAAATGTATTGTTAACTTGTTGATTGTGGCAATTGGGGAAATATGTCACAAAACCATGCAGCAAATCTCTGCTCCAGTAGCTTATTTGGTCTGACAGTATTAGTGCACCTTTAAAAGGTGAGAAATGTGTTTCATTTGCCTGGAATCAGACCCCTTTTGTGCAATAAACTGTGGATCTTAGAGATCAAGGACATCCTCTACTGCTTGAGCTTAAATTCCTGAGTTGAAAACTGGATTCTATATCACCATATCCAGGCTTGTCTTGACATGCAGCAAGTGCAGGGGAAAACGGCTCAGAGGATAATTAATGCCTAAAACTAGATGGGTAGATTAATTTGGCACTTAATTTTATTTTACGCCGATTCATTCACAAATGGAAATCAGCAATTAGACAATGCAAACTTTTGAACCATGGAAGGAAAGGTTCGGGAATATGAGAAAATACA